TCATTAGATTAATAAAATCCCAATAGAAACAAGGGATATTGTGCGTTACTATAACCAACGAAACCATAGGTTTGTTTCTAGTGGATATTTCTTAATGATCTAATGATATTGAACAAATGAACCATAATGTTCGGTTAAACGGTGTTAGTTAATGTCTATCAGTTTTAATACAATCGTGATTTATCTCGTCGACAATTTAATAGTATTAGTGCATCAGAATCGTTGTTTAAAACACCCTTGACCGTGCGAACACAGACGGTTAAAGCACCATGAGCTTTTGCTACGAAGCCCTACTTCAAATCTGACGAATACAACTATCATCTGGTACTGAAATATAAAATCCCGTCTTTCTTCTTTACGTGTCCTTCGTGATACTGTCACTGCTCTCTCGTCTCTTAATACCTTCCCTTTCGAGCCTCCTTCACACCTTACTTCTACTTTCTTCCTTCTACAAACTATTTGACGGTTCTATGGTACTCCCAGATAACAATTTATTGACTTCAGAATCGATCTATTTTCGAATATGGGGAGAAGCTGGATAACACCTTTATTGTATAGGATTTGAATCTGTAGTGATTTCATGCGCTACCAAATTTGTGGTACCACATCCCTCTCCCATGAGCTTAAACTTTCGCGAAACTAATGAATTAAGTCTAGTAAGTTGATTCTCTGCGAGGTCAGTAAAGGTATTCAAAACTCTAAAGCACTCGGTTGGTGGACCAAAGTTCAAAACATCACGAGTTAAATTTGCAATTATACCCATGGTTTTCTGAAAATTTAATCCAAGGACTATAGAATGATGTAATTCTGGTACAATTAAAAATTTGATAAATTTAATTCGGTCTAATAATTGAACTGGTGTATGATCTAACGTGGTGGAAATTTCTCCTTTTAAGGCTTCACAAAAAATATTTAGAACCTCTAAAAAACAGTTCGTGTGGTTGCTAAAAATCTTGTTTGCCGCTATCCATGAACACAGGGATTAACCGTTAGAAAAAAACTACGTCTAGAATTCAGCGATTCACGGAATAATCTATCGAAGAGGTTTGCCGAAGGGAAGTTCCAATTTACAACTACGTTGCTTAATTTTCCCGGATGAGTTGCCGTTGTATGGAGAGCCGTTTTCAGACTATTCTTGTTTGTATGAACATCATCATCTTCAGAAGGACATTTTTTATGAGGTACCGTTATGTTATTAGGAAAAATTAAGAGTTGTATATTTTCAAGTAAAATCTTCTAACTTGTAATTGATTGAAGTTTAAAAATAATTAAGGAAAATGTTTATTGCATGTTCTTAAAGACAGCCATCTCTACACAAATTAAAGCCGTTTGTATTGCATGTATTTTATCGTTGGTGAAGTTATTGATATTGGAATTGTCAGAAAAAAAAGTTTTCGGTAGGTAACTACTGATTCTTTAGTAATAGATTTCGCACAAGCCCGCGGCTTTCCATATTTGCAGAGTCGGGAATACCTCCTCTGTTTACACGAAGGGAGATACTCATCGAATTATATTGCTAAACTTAAAGCTACAAATGATAACCTGAACAGCGATGTTGTCGAAAACCATCCATTACTAGAGGAATATAAAAACAGGGCTACGATCAGCAGACCAACCATAATAAGAGCTATTGAGTTAATAAAGGAGCTGGACGAAGAAAATGTGATTCTTTTCAAATACACTACACCGTCATTCCCACCTTGGATATCATTTAAAGAAAACGTCCTATTAGACCTAACCAAATTAAAAAAAGGTTAAACATCTAAGTCTCTTTACCGAATGTTCTTTAGGGAAATGTTGTCTCATTACAAAAACTATTTTATTATCTATACAGATGGATCAAAAATGAATGATGGTGTTGGTAGTGGTCTATATTTCAACAATAAGTCCTTTACATGGCGTCATAGTATTATTTCAAGGGTATATTCGGCTGAGTTGTATGCGGTGTGGCAAGCGCTCCTAATGTGCGAATATATTACTAAAACGGAAGTTGTCATATGCACAGATTCACTTAGTACTATTAATGCCGTTATAAGGAGACACATACCGCTAGACCCACTAGCTACCTCAATAAAAGAGCGTTTATACTACCTTCAATTAATTTTAAAATCTTTCTCATGTGGGTACCAGCACATGTCGGCATATATGGAAATGTTAAAGCAGATGAAGCGGCGAAAATTTCTTCAAACTATGGGAGCATTGATGAAGTTACTACTCAATGTACGGACTGGAAAGCTTATATAAAAAAAAGGATTATGGGTAAATGGGAAACAATCTCGGCCGAATCTGAAACATTCTTAAGTAATTTCAAAAGAAATGTACGGCCATGGAAAAATGATTATAACCTATCAAAAAGGGAAGAAGTAGTGTACACAAGAATGCGAATAGGGCACACTCGTTTGACACACTTACACCTCCTAGGTAGATGTGGGCATAATATCTGTAGAATATATGCGGGGTACCTTACACATTGCAACATCTCTTAATAGATTGTCCTGTATTCACAAATGAAAGAGAGAATTCGAACCTGGATAAAGAACTGAGTAAGATTTTCAGTAATGATCGTAGAAGTATTGCACGTTTAATACAGTTTTTAAAAGTTACTAACATGTTTAGAGAAATTTAACCAGTTACCGTTTTCAAGTAAAATGGCGCAAGACCTCAGCAGTCGTAGCCATAAACCTAAAAAAAAAGAATTTTTTGAATTCGTGTTTTATTAAACTGGTAAACGAGCTATACTACCTATATACTATACTATATCAAATTACCAACTAACAATAATCCGTTGGCATTTTCCTTCCCAATAAAATTTAGAATCGGAAAAATTAAAAAAGGTTGGGGTGAGAATCCACCCACCGCGATGTCAGGAGTATTGAAAATCGCCCGGGGCCAAGAAGGTTAAAGTTGATTTAATTTTAATAAGCAATGAATCAGTTCAATCTAATGAATTTAAGGGATGTTTTAAATAATTTTGCTATAACCTGTTATGATAGGGTCCTCTATAGAGGGGTTAGGCAACCCATCATGCTTTTACAAACTTTCGACCCTCATAACGTCATTAGGGTTGAAGTCTACAAATTTCTAGAACCTGGATATTAATGTACACGGTGCGGCGAAAATTTTGCCGGATCGTTTTTTACGTTTTTTATGTAATTAACGGATCTAGCGAACCAATGAAGTTATCAAAAAAATCTTTCCGACAATAAGTTCGAATTAAGCGTTAGAATTGCTACATATTGAGCAATTCTTTTCAACTTTTTTATTAATTGCGTTATGAGGAGTAAAAGTTTGATGAAATCTGCATAAAAATCCGAAATGACACATTGCCTTCAGGCTAAAAGTTGAAATGTGTAAGAGGGATTAGGGAATTCCCAAAGTATTACAAGAGGTAAATGGAATGCTAATTAGTTGCACCTACTCACTTACCTGAAAATTGTATTGTATTGCAGAAAAATAATGGTATCATTAGACACATTGTATTATTTAATCACTAATAAGCAGCTAAATTAAAACACCTAGTAATTATTACCTTCAATTAAAATTGTATATGTTTTATTAAAATGACAACAATGACAATAAAAAAAGCTATTAGATTTTGCTATAAATATCTCGCAATTGAAGTTGGCGGCATCTCCTAGGATCGATAATTTCTGGCAGTAACGAATTAAAATAAAAGTCAGCCAATTTTTCTTTCATCTTCGTTTCCCAAAAATCGTCATCGCTACAAAATAATTTTATTGTTTTTGTTTGAAAATTAGAACTTAGCTTACCGTTCAATGGTTTCCACATGTAATCCTCCTAATGTATATATTATAAAATAACAGAGTTGTTTTTTACAAATATGCAATGCGCCTTGTATTTGGTAATAGTAATTATGACTTCGTTTGAGTGTAAGTTTGCCATTTTCAATTACACAAAAATCAATTTTTTTTTGTTTTGCGCCTTCCAATGGAGATAAGGGCCCACTTTTTGGTGAACATTTGATTTCTATTATACAATTGTTACCCACTAATCCATCCGGGGAGCAAGCCAAATATGGTAATTCATCATCAATTACCAAACCACTTTGCGTTACACTGACGTTATGAGCATTTTGAAATAATTTAATTGCCGTTTCTTCATTTTCTAAACCAAATGTTGTACTACTGTTACCGGCAAATGTAGTGTAAAGCAACTGTGAAACTAGCTTAGCGGTGGAAGTTGTTTTGCGTAGTTTACAAACTCTGCCAAAATTTGAAGCGGTAATTCGTTTTTTGCGCTCTTGATACCAAAGGTTGGACTTTGATTGCGATGCCGTTTCCATACAAATCTTTTTCTTGTCCGCACATCGTAAAACTTCTAGGAACTCTTGACGTTTTTTTTTATACAATTCTGAGCCCATGTCCTCCTCTGGTTGGTTTGCGCTAGGCCCATAATGACTGTCTGCTGTAGCAAAATGTTTTCTTTTCGGTGCTTTTTCTAGAAAAATATTACTCCTAATTAAAAAGAAATTAATGAAATAATACCAACTTACTTCTATTTACATGTAACATTCGCATCTTCCGCTCGTGAAATATACGGGTATAATGATCAATAGTACCACACATTCTTTCTTGAACTTTTGCAAGAAAACCACCACCAGTGTTGTATGAAATCGAAGCCGCCTCACATCTAGTCTGGTAAGAGTTTTTTAAGGAATAATTGATCCGTTTCCCACCGACAAATTTGGCAACGACGGAATTGTAGCTTTCGGCTGCATTTGTGTCTACATCTTGTAACAAACTAGCAGCATTATTTGCTAGTCTACGATTTGCAGTGACAATTGGTTCAAAAATACCAGACAATTTTAATGTATGTACTAAATTTTCCTAAACAGATACAAATAACGTAAAATTATTCTGTGCAACAATGCGTCAATATCATTACCTGATCTTTATTTCCAGAACAGAAGTAACCGTCGCAATTAGAGTGGTACCCAAATATATGATTTGGCCCATTTTCAATATCTTTTTTTAAAAGAGCGACTTTTGTATTTTCAGCATCAGGACCCTGTTTTCTAAAGGCAATAGCTTTCGTTATCGCGTTTCGGAAGCGACCCAAAACATCTGTATTAGTTACTATTCTCCTGAGATGAATGGGGAATTTGGTATCTTTGGACAATTCTGAAATTTTATTTATGTAATTCCTAATGAGGTCATTTCGGCATTCAATTTTCTCTACAACAAAAGTTGGTCCATATGGGGATACCTCAACAACTTTTTTATATACAGTGCTGTCCCCATCCCCAATAATTTTGCCATAGATCAAATTATGACTTTTAATAGATGATTGAAACCCTTCGGCGATTATTTCAGCTTCCATTGCCGTGGAACTTCTATCCCAATTTTTGAAACAAGAATGTTCTACTGGAGTACTTGCCCTAGTACAGACGAAACAGTATTTATTTTTAACCCCCATGTAAAGAATTTTCTTAGTTTTCGCTCCAATTATACAGGCCTAGAAAGAAGCAAATATAATGTTTTCAGTAACATAGAAAAAAGTACTTACAACTCCAGATAAAGCATTGTAGTTTGTACGATAGGAACATTTA